AAGTAATTTTAATGGGAACACAGCAATCAATATTTGGCTTTTAATTAGGTTTTAGTGGGGTTATTTTGTGTATTTTTGTATGATTTTTTTTGTATCCTGTATATTGTATTTGTGTTTTTAATATGCTGTGAACCGCCCTGAGTCCTACGGGAGAAGGGCGGTATACAAATTAAATTAACCTAACCTAACCTAACCTAACTCCCAGAATTCCCCAGCCAGCTATGCTGGCTGGGGAATTCTGGGAGTTGAAGTCCACCCGTCTTAAAGGGGCCAAGGTTGGAGATTCCTGGGTGTGGGTTTTTTGAAAAATGACACCAAGAATGTCCATCACAGTACAGGTTATCCTCGATTTACAACCCACCCTCTGAAGTTACAAAACAGCAACCTGTGGCCAGCGGTCCTCGCACTTATGACCGTCACAGCACATCATCCAAATTCAGAGGCTTTGGCAATACCGGTGTGCATTTACGACATTTGCAGACTCCCGGGGATCCTGCGATTGCCATTTGCGACCTTCCCGGCTGGCTTCCGACAAGCAAAGTCAATGGGAGGATCTGGACTCGCTTAACGACCGTGTGTGATTCACTTAAGAGCAGCAGTGCGTTGATTTACCACCTGGCCTCCCCCCCAAAAAAAGAAGTCCCAAAGGTGCTTTTTCAATAGGCAACAGGAGTTTCTTTTGAGTTTTCCCCCCCCCCTCTGAAAACATTTCATTTTCTCATCCAAGAAATGTCAGGAACCAAAGGAAAAAAAAGCTTCATAATAATAATAATGTTGGAAGGGACCTTGGAGGTCATCTAGTCCAACCCCCTGCTCTTGGATGAGAAGCAAAACGTTTTCAAAGAAAAAACAAAGAAAAAGGGAGTCTAGTTGCCCTTTTGGAAAAAGCACCTTTGCGACAACCGTGACCCGGATGATGTCGGAGAATCTCCACACGACACGCGCAAACCAAGGTTGTAGAATCAGCAGTCGCTCGCTTAACGCGCCCTTGTGTTTAGCCACGGAAATTCTGCCCCCCTCTGTAGTCGTAAACTGAGGACCATCTGTACACTTTGGGGAGCCCTGTCTAAATTCTGGCTCCACAAAATTTATTTATTTATTTATTTATTTTATTTTATTAAATTTATATCCCGCCCTTCTCCTTGCGGACTCAGGGCGGCTAACAATTAAATAAAAAATACACAGATAACATTACAAGTTTAAAAATTGATTAAAAAGGAAATATTTAACTGTGATCTAATTAAAATATAATTAAAACCCCCTCTAAAAATTTCCCCTAGGCCAGTCCTGCAAGCTGGAATAACCATGTCTTAAGGGCGCGGCGGAAGGAAGGGAGATCAGGGATCACCCTGATCTCTGGGGGCAGTTCATTCCAGTTCATTCTCTCTCTCTCTCTCTCTCTCTCTCTCTCTCTCTCTCTCTGTGTGTGTGTGTGTGTGTGTGTGTGTGTGTGTGTGTGTGTGTTCGGTAGCTCTACAGCAGAGTTCCCTAACCTTTCGGGGTGGGCGGGAGGAAGGAAAGATGGGGTGGTTTTGTACGGGGGGGGGGATGAACGAATGCACGCACGCATAAGTGTGCACAAACACACGTTGCTCACAGGAGTGGGGCTGTGAATGCCTGCTACGCTCACTGGAGTGGGGCTGTGGGAGTGTGCGCAAGTGGGGCTGTGTGTGTGAACACACCCACACACCGGCCAGCTAGTCATGCGGCCCGGTGGCTGATAGCCCGCAGCCCATAGGTTGGGGACCCCTCCCCTACAGCACAACGACCAGACTTAGCATAGACCAGGGTTCTTCAAACTGGGCCTTGATGACTCGTGGACTTCAACTCCCAGAATTCCTCAGCCAGGCACGCGTGCCTGGCTGAGGAATTCTGGGAGTTGAAGTCCACGAGTCATCAAAGGGCCCAGTTTGAAGACCCCTGGCATAGACAGTGACGAGGAATGCTGAAAGTTACAGCTCCCCGGCATTTTTAAAGAGACATGGGGGCTCTTTGACCTTAACGCAAAACAGTATCTATCAAGTAGCAAAAAAAAAAAGATTTTAATTTCCTGTTTTTTTATTTATAAGCTTACTCTGATGACGCTGGCAGTGGACCAGCGAAAGCTAAGATACTAGATATTTGGTTTTATGAATTGTTGTTATTATTTTTAACAATAAACAGCTGTTTTATTTATCCCAGAGTTCGAGGATTCTATATCACTAGCGTAAATATGCCTGGGATTCGTATTTTTAAAATTATCACACACACACACACACACACGCACACTATATGCGTGTGTGTGTGTGTGTGTGTGTGTGTGTGTGTGTGTCCCTGATAGCTGCAAAAATGCGAATCCCGGGCATATTTGTTCAATAACATAGCCTTCGATCTCTGGGAGAGGTATAAACCAGTTGTTTATTGCTAAAAAGATATTTAAAAACAATAAAAACAACTATTTATAATGTTAAAAGAAACAACCTAGCTTTCACTGGTCCCCCCTTTCGCTGGTTTATACCTCTCCCGGAGATCGAAGGCTGTGTTATTGAAAATATATATATATATATATATACATACATACTGTACATACATACATACATACATACATACATACATAAATATGTGGTCTCTAATTATGCTAAAAATGCGAATCCTGGGTAAATCCATACCATAAAATAATCCGAACACCAGGATAATACTAAAAACAAAACTGTTTAATTAAACAGTTTTGTTTTTAGTATTATCCTGGTGTTCGGATTATTTTATGATATACACACACTCACATACACACACACATACACACACATAATTAAGTTATGGGAGGCAGCTTCAGGAGAAATAGGTATCAGACCTCTGAATTTTTTAAGTTCAAATTGCAATCCCACCCGTACATAAACACACCTTCCAAACTTAGGGTGGATTTCCGCCCCGGTTCTCTGGTTATTTATTCGGTTCTTGTTTCGATACGTTTGTCGGGCAGAGGGTTTGCTAGGCGTGGAAACCCCCCATCCTGAAGGCCTCCTGAAGAGTCAGCGATTCCCATTTCTGTTCTTTGTAGATAGCGGACCCCCCCTCCCCTCCCCTCCCCTCCGAGGCCCACATGGCTGGAAGAAGGAAGTCAACCCCAGTCTGGAGTTTTGCATCACATGTTTGTCACACACGCCTATTCTAGCACTCTCCAGAGGATATTCAGAGCAAGAAATGCCAAGTGGAGAAAAACTGGGAGACTATCTCAACCGTACAGAGCTGGATACAATTCTCCTGTCTGGAGATAAGCGGATAGACAAGTCCTACGTGGAGCCCACTTTCTGTTTTTGTATACAACCACTGTGTTTTTCAGCCTCGGCAATGATAAGATACGTGGACTCCAACTCCCAGAATTCCCCAGCCGGCCATGCCGGCTGAGGAATTCTGAGAGTTGAAGTCCACGTATCTTATCATTGCCGAGGAGGGGAAATTTGGATACAGAAACTCATTCCCTGTTTCCCAACAGAGTCTTCCCTCTTCCTGAAGCCTCTAAGGATTTGGGGCAAGGGAATTCCAAAGACACTACATTTCTGGCTTCTTACAGTTTGGGATAATGTTAAAAAAAATGGCACACAGTCAGCCCTTGGCGTCGGTCAATTAAAAGAAGAAAGGCAAAGGGGAAAATTCTACAGATTCAGTTTGGGAACTAACTAACTGGGAATGAAGAAAAATGTTGTGCTCGGTCAGAAGAGACCGGGCGCCCTCAGCGCAAAAGGCTACGAATGGATGATGTAAGACTGGCATAGCTAACCTTGGCCTCCAGAGCCACTGGGGGGTGTGGGAGGACCTCGGCCACTGGGGGTGTGGGAAGACCCTGGCTAGTGGGGGTGTGGGACAATCCTGGCCACTGGGGGTTTGGGAGGACCTCGGCCACGGAGGTGTGGGAAAACCCTGGCCACGGGGTGTGTAGGACCTTGGCCACTGGGGGTGTAGGAAGACCCTGGCCACGGGGTGTGTAGGAGGACCTTGGCCACTGGGGGTGTGGGAAGATCCTGGCCACGGGGTGTGTAGGAGGACCTTGGCCACTGGGGGTGTGGGAAGACCCTGGCCACGGGGTGTGTAGGAGGACCTTGGCCACTGGGGGTGTGGG